TCAATTCTATTCGGGAACACTTGTTTCTTTGCTTGGAACTTGTGGAGAGCAAGTAATGTGTTGACGATATAGTTGCCAAAATGGCTATGCCATTTTGGCTCAAGCTGTTCCCCCTGCAATCCAATACTTTCGAAAACCCACGCACCACTGCCCTACTTTTCGAACATGGCGGCGGTGCCTGATGTATTGGATTCCCCACCTGATGCGGTGCCTGAGCAATATAAGGATCAGGTGGAATTGCTTCACCAACAAGTCCTGACTATCTTCCAGTCCAAGGAGATTCCATACTTCATCATGGCAAGGATGGCATCAGATGGCTACCGCTCAGTGGAAGACCTTGCTGATCGATGGCCCACCATCACGGAGGCCCGGAACAACTCCCCAGCAGACCTCCAGTTCCGTCACACAGACCGTGGGGGAGCTTTGATCACACAAGAGAAGACAAATCACTTGGCCATGCGCATCTCACAATGTGTCCGTCAAGCACAACAGTTGCTGGGCACTGGGGGCCTGAACCAGGGCCGAGTGGGGCCTGCAGGGCTACTGCCGACGACGTCTCAGGCGGCGCCCTCACTGGATGCCCTGTGTGATCGACGCCAGCTCCTGCAGACATGGACGGTGGTCGTTCAGCTCCCACTCCCACGATTGGAGGATCAAGGCTCCGATGCCTTGTTGAAGAAACAGTTCAAACTCTGTGCGCAAGGAGAAGTTGGTTGGATTGCCAGCAAGTACATCATATCAGCCCTACCAGACCAGGATGAGCGGCCTATCAAGACCACCAAGAAGGTGACAGTCGATGGATGGGAAAAGGAAGAAGAGGAGGAAACACGGAAACTCCCAACTACGAGGCGTCAGTTGGAGCACATGCACCTGGTCTTTCGAACCAACCTCCTCATGGCCATCCTCTCTTTTCCCAGCATGCCGAAGCTGAACATCACCCATAGGGACCTAGAGGACTGGTACTGATGGTTCTGGGGGAAAGACATTGCGGACAGGCGACCGCCTCCCAGTGAACAAGTTCTCCTCTACGCTGAAAGGAACGCATGGAGGGAGATCCACAACTTGGTCTACGGGGGACTGGGCCTCAAGGAGGCCATGGCCCAACTACGTCAGGACACCCTGTTTTGGACCAGAGAGGTCTATGAGTCTGTCGCCCGGCAGAAAGGCACCAAAGGCTCTGGGCCTGACTCCCCAACACGACCAGCCAAGTCAAAGGGACGCCAACCTTCATGGTCACCAACTCAGCCACAATGGAACAAACAAAAAGGGTCACCCAAAGGGGGTAAGGCCAAAGGGGCCATGGGATCCGGAAAAGGGAAGGACTCTGAATGGCCTTCAAACTGGGCTAAGATCTCACCCAAGGGAGTGCAGTACTGCTGTGACCACTTCCTCAAGAAGAAATGTCCCGGGAACTGTGGACGCTCCCACAACTGTCCGGTCCTCAAGAATGACTGGGTATGCAACGCCGCGCCCTCAGAACACACCCCAGAGCAATGCCCACACCGTTGACTCCTGGCGGACCCGGTAGCGTCTTGCACCGATCACCCACCAGGGTTGATGGACACCCCAACACCTGTCAAAAACCAAGCAACAACGGAACCGGGGGGGCCCCCCCAGGTTACCCTAACGACACAAGCACACCACATTCACAACAAGAGGCAGTGGGCCGATCACTTGACACACCGGCGATCATGAATGGACAGTCCCTGCTTGGGCACTGTCCATGGCTTTCATCGGTTCCGAACAGGCTGTTGGAACGCCTTGTATGGACCACACAATCCACGGGTAGTCTCCAAGGGAGGGACATCCTACTCCTCTACACCGGCAGGAGTGACGGAGGAGCCCTGGATGACGTACTCATCCAACAACGCCAGGACCTGGCCCCCAGGCTCCTTGCCGTGGACATCCTGAGGCCACCAGAAAAGGGCCCAAACGACATATTGGATGATGAGTTTTACTCAACTCTCTGCTGCGCCGCCGCGAGGGGCCAGTTGTCATTTGTGGGGGGCGGCCCCAACTGCCGGACCTGGAGCATCCTACGATGGTTCCCAAAGCCTGGAGCGCCCAGGCCTGTACGAGGACGGGATCCCTCCCAGACATGGGGCCTTGACTCAAACTCCCTGGAAGAACAGTTGGACACAGACAAGGACAGTATCCTTCTGCTCCGGCAAATGGTCATCACTGCCCTAGCCTCCAAAGCCAGGCAAAACAAAGGATTCCACTCGTTCTTGGAACACCCTCGTGACCCAGCTGAGTGTAGTAGGGCTCCAACGGCGACAAAATGCTCATCGATATGGGCCACTAGAGTCTACCAGGAGTGGGCCAAAGAGGTAAATCACTGCCAGATCCACCTGGACCAGTGCAGACTGGGACAAAGGGCACAGAAGAGTACGACCTTCTCAACGGACCTTCCAATTCACCATTGGCAAGGCCTCCAGTGCAACCACGCTGGACATTCAAGGCCAATGGAGATGACCTCCCGGGACCTCAGCAGATACCCGCCAGAACTGATGACCGGGCTCGCAGCAGCAATCATCCAGAGCATTCCAAACACAGGACATCAACCCACCGGGTGCCAACAGGAAGGGGAGCCTCCAGGTCGGACGGACCGCTCCTCATCGGTACCCCTCTCCCAGACGATGACTTTGGATGACGACCCGATCATCGTTCAATCAGGCTTCAAGACTAGACCCTTACGGGATGGAGGAGGTAAGCCCTCAGCCGGGAGACGACCTCCCCCGCTCAGACCTCAGTCCAAGATCAAGCACATTGGAGACTCCATTAGCCACCTGGCAAAAGGATGCGCACAGGACGTCCAACAGTCCATCAACAGTGGTGAAAGAAAACACCCGTTCCCGAAGGAACTTCTCCAGGAGACACGACGGGCCATTGCCCAAGGGATCGGGCTGGACTACCAAATCGCTGAGGAGATGGAGCCATGCACCGACCTGGCATGGCAACCTCCACACAAACAAACCACCTGGGCTCTGTTGAAAGCAGATGTCTCAAAAGCACACCGCCGCATCAAGGTCCAGTCCAACGAATGGCGCTACCAGGTAGCACAACTTGATGGTGAATGGTGGATAAACAAGGTGGGTACCTATGGTATGGCCAGCGCCCAACTTTATTGGGGCAGAATGGCGGCACTCCTCCTCAGACTATGCTACATGATGTTTCCACACATAGACTGGGGCTTTGTGTTCGTGGACGATTTTTGTTGGCTCCTCAGGACGGACTCCGCCACTGAGGATACTGCAAAACTACTTCTCTTCTTAGCAGCCATGGGATGCCCCCTCAGTTGGCACAAGACGGTGTTATCTGAGGTCAACACCTGGTTAGGTTTCCAGGTCAATCCATGTGGACCCGTGGTCGACTTCCCTCCAGATAAGAGGAAGACACTTGAGGCACTCCTTCAGACCATTGCGGCGGGCAACACCTTCACGGTGAAGGAGATTGAGAGAGCACTGGGACGATTGAATTGGGCAACGGCAGCTTGGCCCCTCAGTCGCCCTTTTCTTCAGCCATTTTGGGCATGGAAATCCGCGACGACTACCTCAGGGAAGCCTGGCAAGCTCATACGATCCTTCTCAAAGCTTCTCCTCCAACTGCTTCACAGCCCCCAGATCCAGCCCTGCCCTTATGACCCTGCCTCCAATTGGTGGGGTGCCAGTGATGCTAGTGCACACCCGGACGATGGGGCCTACATTGGGGGATGGATTGCAGATTGTGAGAACCCGTCAAAGGGCCAGACCTGGTGGTTCCATTACAAGATACCCCTCGAAGACCATCCATGGGCTCACAAGGATGGTGACCCAACCAGACGCATTGCGACCCTCGAGATGTTTGGTACATTGATTCTTACCCACTTCCTGCTGGCTTTGGGTGGGAAATCTCTGCTTCGTACCCGTCTCAGCCTCATTTCAGACAATCAAGGCAATGTCTTTGCCCTGTTGAACCAGAAGACGAAGCACATGCCTACCTCAGCTTTCCTAATGCAGCTCATTGCCATGCTCTATGTTGCTGGGGTTCAATTGGCGCCTTCACACATGAAGCGGGACTACAACAAGTGGGCGGACGAACTCACCCACCCGAACTTCACTGGTTTTCATCCTGATCGACGACTACCAGTGAGTGAAGCTCTTTCCCATTTTAAATTTCTCTGGGCCCTTCTGGATGACCAGATGAGTGTCCCCACCTTTTCAGGAAATTCAAAACGTCGTAAGACCGACTCTCACGCCACCTAAGGTCCTTCGGGAGCCAGGTGGTTGCGGCTGACTTTCTGGTGTACAGTGGTGTTTTCCCACCTACAACCCTCTTTTTCCTTTCCTTACTTGCGCGGGCTACACGCTCCGGCGGGTTGGGTGGATTTTGACGTGTGACACCACCACTGCATTTCAGAGTTTCTGTGAAACCATTTGTGATGGATGCGATTGGCATCTGACAGAAACACAGCCGCAAAGCCAACTGCATAACAAAAGGTGCTGACTGACCGATGCAGTTGCTTTGTTCCGTTTCTGTCATTTTCAATTCTATTCGGGAACACAGCATGATTTTTTTAACATATATTTTTAGAAATCATATGTATATCAATAAATATTTATACAAATTGACAAAGGTGTAAAAGGAAATTGTATTTGCATCAGTGTACGCATACAAGCATGCACACATGTATACACACCATGCACACATAGAAACGTACACATTTGTTTTATATACAGGCAGACATGTATATATATATAAATATGCATGTTGACTTAAAAAAATCCGTAGATATACATACGCATCTGTACATGTGAGAACATTCGCAGTTCATGGCGCCTGAGTACTACCGTCTCGAAGATATCCGGCATCAGCACGCCCCAATTCAGTATACTGTCAGACTGAAATTCCTCTGCGCAGGTGGTGCACTGTGGACAGGATGGGGATTGACATTCCAAGAGTGTAACGCTTCTGCGTGCAGGGCTTGGATTTAGCTGTTTGGTCCTGGTGTTGCTGCCCAGGGCGCGGCTGCAGAGCAGGGCCTGGAGTACCAGCAGAAGCTGCAGGCAGGATCGGTGGCTGCGCGATCCAAAAACGCACGTCTCTCAAGACAGAGTGCTGGCGGATTAGGGAATCGTTGCCACTTTCGCTCCTCAAAGACTTTCATATTCTTTCATGAACAGAAACTCTAGGTGGTCAAAACCACGGCTAATTATCAGCCAGTTTGCTCCAGTGAAGCCAGTGAATCAGGAATTGGATGAGAAACTGGTGGAGCTGAGCCCCACCCGGCTTCGAGCCAGGCAGGGTCGGGCAAAGGTGTGCCAACTGGCCCACTCCAGTGCCCAGGTGGACGCCAAAAAAAATCCTGTTCAGACTCGTTCAGGGAACCTTCACCAAACACAGCGTTGGGCGAAACAATTGCACAGGATAGGGGACAGACAGCTTGCGGCCCAACCAGATCTACATGTCTGTGCCGCGCATGTTTGTTTTTAATCGCAAAGCCAAGGCCGCATGGTCATTTGTCTTTTCAGTACTGTGAGTCATTTGAGAGCTTTAGTTTCAACCGTCTCTGACATGATCCAACGCAACATTTTCCAATATTCAGTCTTTTAGGATGGGAAACGGTTCTTTACATTATCAACTTTCCGTTTTTGAAAAACCTTGGTTATTTCTTGCAATGCGCGAGCAAAATCCCAGCAACCAACCATGATTGGGGGGTGAAATTCACGTCCATCCCATTAAAATGTATGCGGTGGTGTTGCAATCATTGTGTTGTTTTTTCCACCATCATATCCTATAAACATCTGAGCATTTCCATTTTTTTGGGTTTACCTCATCTCAAGATTTTCATCCGGACGCCCAGAAAAGCGATGCTCGAGGCAAAGTGGGAGTGGCAGTCGCAGCGGCGCAGTGGTCCGCGTTGGGCCCTCAGCGCCACAGACATGGGAATCGATGCGTTTGCCATTGTGGGTATGTCTGAAAATGGGGTATACCCCCAATTATAGCCATTTAGTAGGGATAATGATCATTAACCATTGGGTGTAGGGGTACACTATTTTCAGACAAACCCTTGTTGGTTGATGGATTCGTTCTTTCATGGAAATTCGCACTCTGGTAGTCTAACAGTGGCAAATTTCCATGTTGAGAAACCGTAAAGCATCGAACCAACTAGCCACGTTCCATAGCGGACCGTAAAATGATCAAAAGGTTTGACAGAGGGTTTTGAACATTGGATAGTTGGGATATTTTTATTTGGATATTTGGGGTATGATGGATACTCTGGATGTAATGAGATGGTCAAAATATAAGGCCCAGAAAACCGCAGTCCTAAACTAATGAGGTTTGAGTCTTCACAGGTACCCCACTTTTATGGGTTTGGGTGTGTCTGAGAATGGGGATGCATCCCTAAATGACAACTCACCAGGGGATGGACTGAGGTTTTCATGGAGTCTTTTGAAAATCCAAGGGGCCAAACCTCAGTTGCAAGGTTGTTTAACTTGTCTTTTTGGGTTTTAATCTCCATGTCTCAGCCTCCAAAGTTACTATCAAACAATGTCTCCACACTCATGGGCCCTTATGAACGATTTTCCCAATAATGGATTTACTAAGGTATAGAACTTGGGTTGTCAACCACCACTACCCCCTTATTGGTGAGACATCTGGATTTTTGCGGGTGAAACCATAATGTTTTACACATGGTTTTAAACATCTCGCCTTCTGTCTCTTCTTGTTGTTGACACGTATCAGCCTTTGTCAGTGGCGTCAAGCGAATATATACATTGAAAATCATTTAAAGATCATGTATATATATATGTATACAAGTTGTATACACACATTCACACACTTTATACATATAATATTACATATATATATATATGTATATTGTGTCAATGTATATATATACATACATATACGTTTACATATACATATACATATATAACATATATATATATACACAATCGGGAATATATGTGGCTCATACGCCATTTGTCAACTCCCAGGAAGTGGAGCAGAAGCTGGCGCAGCTGTCGCCGCGAGGGTCTCCGCCAGGGTGCGCCGTTGTTTTTTGGGGGGTTCCCGCCATGACTGACAGGATGGGGCCCCAGTTCGTTGGCTAAGCTGGTTTATAACTGGTATAAATATAGTGTATTTATAACTGTTATAACTATAATGACTATAACAGCGTTCATTATAACTATTGTTATTATAGTCATTTATAACTGTTATAACATGTTACAACAATAGTGTATGATACTGATACTTATAACTGATAACTATATTTAGATGAGGTTATCAACCAACAAACATAACTGGGGGGCACCATCCTGTAGGAAAAATCCATATCCCAAGAGATGGGAAAAACGGTAGGTTTTAAGATTGAAAATTGGACGAAATTGGGATCCTATTGAGATTATCATGGGATGAGTGAATATAGAGTGAATTATGGGCAATCGCATTTCTCGCTGACTGCATGGCTGAATGAACTACTTCTTGGTTGAGCTAGAGATTTCCTAAGCCAAACCTCCCTTGAGTGGCCTCTTCATTGAGCTACCTCTTCATTGGACCAACTCTTCGCTGTGGTACGTCATCACTCAGCTATTGTACCTCCTCTCTGAGCTGCCTCTTACTTGGGATGTTTCTTCTCTGAGCTACCTCCCTCTCTCAGCTATTTCTTCTGATGGCAAGGCTTCTTTTACTTCTTTTACTTCTTTTAGCGCGGCCGTTGCAATGCGTTTATGAACCTCCAGCTGAAGTCCCGCGTAGCGCGAGAGTCACGCCAAGCCCAAAACTATCATTCTCGCAGCTGTTGCGCTGCATTTAGCAACCTCCAGCTGCAGTCCCTTTTGCCAATGCGTTTCGCCAGAGCCTATACAATCCCGCATTTAGCATGGACGCAGCAGCTTTAGACCTGAAATCGCCCGCTCTCAAATAGCTGAGCAAAAAATCGAGCTCTCACTAGAGTCTGGGGCACATTTTTCCGACCCCTTCTTCCAAAAGTTGCTCCAATGCCTACGTTTCTTTTTTTTGGCCAATCAAGCTCTTGCTACAGTCTCGTGCACTTTTTGTCGACAGCTTTGCTCCCTACACCGCGGAAATACACTAGCAAAAACAGAGTGATTCACGCACTTCCATTGTTTCACGCGCATATGCACAAGCTGTGGTACTGTTACCGTGATCAAACGTTTCCGCTTGCGAATTGCTATTGCTAATGTTTCCACTTTCCAACTGCTGTTGATACCTCCGTGGTTGACATGATGATGTGAAGACTGACGATGGACATTCGTCCGTAACTCGCAAGTTGACAAACTAAACTGCTTTTGATGATGGCCAAGGGATTATAAAGAATTTCAGGGGTTGTAACCATCGAAATTTGTGGTTCGTAGATGACTATGTTTGGGTACAATTCATATTGTTGACCTCACTGGTTGTCCTTTTCTGATGGTTGGGATTAGCCCAAAATGATCTTATTTAAGTTTGGTGAATACCTATAATCCAGCCAGATTGATTAGGGGCCCTGATGGATTGACCATCAAGTGGCTGATTGGTTGGTTGATTAACTGGATGAATGCGTTGATTGGTTGCATGATTGGTTGGGTGTTGAATTCTTTGTTTGATAGGTTGACTGATTGATAAAGGGGTCGGTTGATTGATTTAACGCACGCTTTTGCCATGGCCCATCAGAGAAACCAAGTTGCTTCACAGTGTTTTGAACGCGATGTCTTTTTCAAATACATGATGTTCAAATGTGTGTGTATATATATGAATGTACATAGACATCTAGGTGTATGAGTTTTTGACAAACAAGTACAGTATCTGAATATATGTTCTATATTTCTGCACTTTACGCACCAGCATGACCCCACGTTTTCTTTTTTGTCGCACCTGGCAGGGCCAAGGTGGCCCGGGTTCCAAGTCTGGGTAGACTTTGAGTGGCAGCAGTGGCTTCATTTTCTCCTATTTGTGGAGAAACACCGGCCTTTTAAAATAAACTCTGAACTTAGTTTTTGGCAGGGTATCTATGACATAGAATGCATTTGGATGTGCATTCCAGCATGTATGTGGTTAATAGCCATGGCAAATCTAATTGGATTATCAACCCCGTACAGGGCCAGGGTACCAGGGATGAACATCCACGAGATGATGCTGGTGTTTTTGCCCAGTTGGGGGACAGATATGCTGTCCCCCTTTTTCGAAAGCCATCAGAAAGCTACTTTTTTTAAACATGGTTGGTGACTCACCAAAACGAAACATATGTATATATATATACACACATAGACACAGTATATACTGTACATATCAATGTAAGCCACAAAGATGGGAGCAATCATATTTTCTACCAAGAGGAATGAACCAATGTGGAGGCCCAGACTCATTATTAACCAATTATTAACCCATTGTATGACCATTATGAACCCATTAACATCTTTTATCTTTGTGAATCCAATTATCAACCCCAAACCCTTCCCCTTATTAATCAAAAGCCCTTCTTATTCATATAGAACCCCGTTATTAACCCTATCTCCACTATTAACCTCTGAGATCGGATGGTTTGATCCGGGGACAGGCCAATGGTGGCTCGCTGAATTTCACTGGTGCCTTTGGAATGGAGGTGTCTGAGCCGGACGATAGAAAGGGTTGAATGTTGTTACCATGGTTTTAGTATGTTTTAGTAAGATAGGGATCATTTCTCCACGATTTTTTGCGGAAGACTGGACATCAGTGACATCTGACTTTTCTGCATCTTTTCCGGGACTTGCTATTCTGCTAAACTAGGATTCAACCGTCCAGTAGTAAATTTGGAGGGGTTCGCCGGTCGAGTCTTTTCGCCGGTTCTCCGAACCTGGCCTGATTGTGCAGGATTCCTCGACCCTTCCGAACGAGGCTGGGGATTTTGAGTGCTGCTTCCCAGATATTTAGCAAACACATATATCACCCTTATATCAGGTGTGTTGGGAGCAACCCTGAATAGAACTACAGTCGAGTTTTCTTAAATGACCAAACATGACCAGATAAAGATCGACACAGCTGCAGGCTCGACCTGGCTGGACTCGATGATCGACTCCCCCCATGCTTTCCCCCAAGGTTTCTCCAGCTCCACATGCTTTCCCCATGAACTCCCTGTGAGAACCCTTCCGAGAATTGGTTTCAGGTAAAATCTGCAGGAACCGCCTGAACTTGGGGTAAAAACCATAGTTTTCCATCGAGTTCTTCAAAGTAACCCGATCCATCGCTCATAATTTGCTGATGAAATCACCATTTTTATCACCATGTTGAGTGGTCTTTCCTGCCCAGTTTTGATGCTTAAATCCTCAATTTTCCTCATTTTTGATGGTTGAATCATGTTAAATCCCCCTTTTTTCCTTCGAGTTCCCCGCTCCGTAGGTGGTGCCCATGCGCGTGTCGCCTTTGCGACGACCCTCCAACATGTCTTCCAGCGAGCTCCTGGTTCCAAGGGGGGCCATAGGAGTATGGCCAGATGTATCTAGACATATATATATATATATCTATATGTATCTATATCTATATCTATGTGTATATATATAATATGTAGACACATATATATATATATAAACATAAATATATATATAAACACACATATATATATATATACATACATATATAACCACTAAACGTTGGGAATTGAAATAGGTTCGCTTCAAAAGGGGGAAACTCAGGCCAGTTTAGTGGGGAAAGTTATTTTCTTAACCATGGGAATTGGGAGGTCACAAGTGGATTTGGGTCAAACATGGAGCACCCATAGCGCACTGCTTGTTTGCAGGATTAAATGTCCACATCTTGGGTATATAATGCTGAGCCATACCCAGATGGACGTGAGGCACTGAACAGTTGCATCATCATCATCATCAACATTACAATCATCATCAACATCATCACCATCATCATCATCATCATCAACATTACAATCATCATCATCATCATCATCAACATCATCATCATCATCATCATCATCACCATCAACATCATCATCATCGTCATCATCATCATCATCATCAACAACAACATTACAATCATCATCAGCATCATCACCATCATCATCATCATCATCATCAACATTATAATGCTCTCTCCTTTTACCGCCCCACACTGTTTGGGGTCTCTTGCCGGGATAATTTTTAAAGGCAAAACATTGACTGTGAATGGGATTTAATCAATTGAAATAGGTTCGTCTCAAAAGGGGGGAAACCCAGGCCAGTTTAGTGGGGAAAGTTATTTTCTTAACCATGGGAATTGGGGGGTCACAAGTGGATTTGGGTCAACCATCCCATGGCGCACTGCTTGTTTGTAGGATTAGATGTCCACATCTTGGGAACATAATGCTGAGCATGACTATGTCCCACTTGAAAGTGGTGAAATACCCTATGTATCCCTATGTATCACCCAGACATCCCAGTGAAATGTCGGTAAACTCCGACAAAATCTCCCACTTGTGGTCTGGGTTTGTTTAAAACTGGTGTACCCCCAAATTCCCTAGGTTAGCCGAGGTTTCTCATCATTTTCTCCATTCGAACGACCGGAAATCGGGGTGATTTCGCACCAAGGTGATCCTCCCTCAGGGCTTGAATAGCGATGGCCGGGTCGTAGTTTGAAACTCAGGATGTCTTCGGTGTCTGGTTGGTGGTGTCACATATTTCACCATCTAAAAAAGGCGATATCACGTGGATATATATATAGTGGATATATAACCAATGATGACCTGCTTAGTGGTTTCAGTGGTTTCAGCCATATCTACATGTTACACACACACAAACACACACACACATATATATATATATACATATGTACATATGCATATGTATATATATATATATGTATATATACACTTATCTTTTTAACCAGACCTGGGATGATGATCCCACATGACGAATATTAGTCAGTGGGTTTGAAACCACCAGTGGCCCGAGCTGAGGCTGCAACCAACCTTTCGGCCACCCATCCAGGACTGTGATGTATCCAGAGAAATCCTCGCAATAAAAACTGCTTTGTTTTTTCCTTTGGATTGACTCCATTGCACATTGTGTGCATGAAAAATTGATTCAAACTAAACACCCCACCTGGGGTAGCACATTATGTGGCAACACTTTTGGGAGGCGACAAGGGGGTTCCAGAGTCTAGTGACCGCCGATTCAGGGCAGTGAACAACCTCTTTTTTTTTTGGCAGACCTTGTTTTTGTTTGTCAACTGCTACTTCCTGGCCATTGAAGCAAATATACATAATTATACATATATGTATACATAGGATGGTTTTCTATATCCCACAACATCATGATGTCAAGAATAGTTGAATCCGTATACCTGTGACCCTTGAATCGCCCATTTTCGATGTGAAATTCCGGCCGGATTAGCCACCTCACGTTTGGACTCGCCGTCAGGGCCACCAGGGTCCATCACTTTGCCGTCCAAGTTGCCAGCAGACAGGCGCGTCTGTCTATCACTTAATCAGTAACTCAATCAATCTGTATGTCCGTCTCTCTGCCGCGCTGGCTGGCTGTCTCTCTGTC